CTTTCCTCTGTCTACCTTACTCAGTTCCTCCTCAAAGAATTCTAAGTTTTGTCAGGCATGACCTCCCTTGACAAAGCTATGCTATCTCGCCCTATTTTACCATGCACTTCCAAGTACTCCGTAATCTCATCCTTAATAATGGACTCTAAAATCTTATCAACGACTGAGGTCAGACTATCCAGCCTATAGTTTCCTATCTTCTGCCTCCCTCTGTTCTTAACATTTTCAAATCCAGTGATCTCTGAAAAAGGGTCACTTATATATTATATGCATTGATGTGGATTTGGGTAAGGATGATAGATTTCCTTCCCTAAAGGGCATTCATGAAGCAGATGGGATTTTATAAACAATCAACAAATAGTTACATGGTCACCACTGGGCTAGCTTTTTTTGTGTTTCATTGAACTCAAATTTCAACATCTATCACAGTGGGATTTGAACCCATTTTGGGGGAAACATTAACCTGGGCTCTAGCTTGCTAAACCAGTCTCATTGCCACTATGCCACCACTCTACAATAGCTTTTTGATGGCAATCTTTAAATCTAAATTCAGTGCAACCCACTTAAGTTGCAGACACCAATATCAAATTAGCAAGCCAGAAAGAACTAGGGTAATGCAATAGGCACTGCCCTCATTAGTACTGGAATGGAGTTAAGGCAGAGACTCATAGAATCCGTACAGAGTCAAAGTAGGGCATTCAGCTCATCAAGTCCACACCAATCCTCTGAAGACCATCCCACCTAGACCCACCCTCTACACTACCCCAGCATTTCCCATAGCTAATCCACCCAACCTACACATCCCTTGACACTATGGGGCAATTTAGCATGGCCAGTCCACTTAACCTGCATATCTTTGGACTGAGAGAGGAAACTCACACAGACAAAGGAAAATATTCAAACTCCACACAGACAGTCACCTGAAGGTGGAATTTAGTACAGGTCCTTGGCACTGTGAAGCAGCAGTGCTAACCACACTATACATCTGATGCTTGACCTTGGGCTGTTCAATAGAAATATTGTGCATAAAAGATTTTATTCTTCAGTAAAGTTTTTTCAACAATTTCCTAAGAGCAGGAAGGAATGGCTAGGATCCTGAATACTCCAGCTTTCTATTTGATTGTTAGTGGAATATATTTTCCTCTAGTTGTTAATGTAAATGAGAAAGTGTGCAGTGATCAGAGGAAAATATGTCTAACAAAATAGGATGTTTTTGTACGTATTTAATGGAGAGCTCTAGAAAAGAGCTAGAATCCATCGTATAGTGTGAGATTTATGACATTATCATGTAATGACTGTTGGAAGGCTATATAATATTTTACAGTTTTTAGTGTTTCTGTAGTATAAAAAACAGTTGGAGTGTTTTAGCTGTAACACACAAGCTCTAAAAGAAACTCTCACAAATTGAGATTTGTACCAGTTTGTGACGCACAGTTATGCGTGGTTTTGAGATGCAGAATTGCAAATTGCATTACAGGCCAAGCATTTCTGCAATAACAGAAGCTTTTGTTCCAAAAGTGATCTCATGACTGGAATAAATTGCTGTATCTTGGTCTTGTCCACTATAAGACAATATCCTAACAGCATTACAATGCCAAACAATATTGCTTTCTTTTACTATCATAGAGTTTCCATTGTGTAAAACATCAAGTTCTATAATTCCTGCTGTTTTTCATTCAATTGTGATTTTAAAATGGAAATACCATAAATAAATTTAGTTTGTTGTGGATTAACTTGTCATGATCTTATATGTTTCTTAGCTGCACATCAACAACTAACACTAAGCCTGTAAAATATATTTGTAATCAGATTTCTGGAAGATGCAATATTCAAGGAATAATATCTCGAGCATAGTGAAGAAGATATAATTCCATCACAGTACCTGCAGAAAACATACTGATGGCTTTAAAGCAGATTTAGGTTTCTATCTCTTTTGATTCGTTATTGTAGCATTATTATTTAAAGTGTTATGCCCTGTGTGAATGGAATATTGTGGAGCTCTTTCCACCAATTAGCTTAGGGAACCACAGAGCAAGTCTGGACAATCCCCAGATTGTTTCTACTGTGCCAGTCCAAAGATAAGCAGGCTAGGTAGATTAGCCATGGGAGATGCAGGGTTACTGGGAATAAGGTAGGGGACGGGTCTGAGTGGACTTGATGAGCTGAATGGCCTTCTTCCACACTGTGGGGATTCTGTGATTCTATGTGACTTTTTGGATCTTCTAACTGTTTGATTCAGTCAAAGCAACCACCCATTGCATTTTGCATTTTATCATCCAACACTTTCGAAACACACAAATCCATCGGAGCTCTTAAATTTTTTTGTGTTCCTAAATAATATTTGCAACCAAACAGACACATGAAAGTGCGAAAATTAAGGAACCCACACATTTTAGCATCCTGTTTTTCATTTGTTTTAACACCAATGACTTGTGTGACTGATCCATGACCTTATTAATCCTCAAACATTGCAACAACTACGTGAAAAAGTACTTCATGATCTGTAAATGGTTCTGATGATGTATTATGTAGATTCTCTTTTTAAATATTCTTGGATTTAGGTACATATTCCTGACATATCAGCTGAGAATTTGAGTATAAATGTCAAACAAAATAAGACATAGGAGCAGAAGTAATCTATCAAATCTGTTCATCCATTCAATGAGATCATGGCTGATCTGATAAGTTTTAACCCCACTTTTCTGTTTCTTTCCTCCATAAACCTTGATTCTCTTACTGGTTAAAAATCGGTCTATCTTAGCCTTCAATATATTCAGTTTTGCCAACTTACTATGCTTTGTGGATTGCTAAATGGAGTAGGTAACTGCAAGAAGTGCAACTGATATACAACCTAATTTCAGAAAGTTTTAAACAAGTTTTCACCCTTGTTATACCCCTAAAAAAGGAGTTTAAGAAAGAAATGCTGTGTGTTTCTTCTGAGTACCTAGCTATTTATTGCTTAGCAAATGAAATTTAAGCCACTAGAGACTGAGCCCTTTCTTATCTCACTAAAATGCAGTGCTTAAAATTTTGGTATGGTATTAGCTGTGGAATAAACTAGCCCATTGTACAGTGGAAAAGACACATTTAATCCCCAGTTTCTACTAAATTAGTTGATTTCAACTGAAGTAGCAGTTTAGATGCCAATATCAATTAAAATACAACCAGCCATTTTGTAAAAGATGCTTTATTTTTTATACATGTACGGAATGAAACAAAATGTGTAAACAAAATTCAGACAGGTCCATTGCAGCCACAATACGAGTTCCAATCCTCATTATTACTGCTGCACAACTACAAGAGAAAAGAAAGGGTTTAGAGAAATACTGATGTCATCAATGTGCTGTCACAATGCTTTAATATACTGTAAACCGTCTCTCAATAACACAATTATAAATAGCACTGAAAACAATTCCCTGTCCCCTTTACCAAGGAAGAGTTTTCCCTCCCAACAAAACACACGCCTACCATGCATTAATTCAACCAGCTTTCAAAACACACAGTATAAAGAACGTATAACCACGTTGTACTAAATTCAGAGCCATCCACCAGCATAAAGGCGTCCTGATGATTATTGGCACCTGTGTTTCACATCTCATCAGTGGCAACATTGAAATTGAATTCTTAACACGCTGTATTGTATGGACCAACAACAAAAACCCAATTATGACGCTGAAGTCCAAAAGAGAAAAGGACCTGGTATTTCCTTGACTCAAGTTCTCGCTGGCTCTTTCAAAAGAGATGGTAAACTAAAACTCAGGCTACATTAAGAGGTGGACTAAATAATCCCATAACACAATTTGAATAGTAGGCGAGTTCTCATAGTCCCCTACCCAATTTACTAACGTCAATCATCAGATTCTCTGGACTTTTTTGCATTGTTATTTGTTAGGCATTGTTGTGTACAGATTGGCTGCCATGTTCATGACGTTATAAAATTAACTAAATTCAGAAAGGTACTTTTTATTTAAATATACCATGTACTTTGGTACATTCAAAAGCTTTGAAAGGTGCTACACAAATGCCAAGTTCTCTCTTTATACGTTGTTGACTCTTAATGGCCTACAAATGGGCAATGTTTTGCTAACATAGCTCATATCTATAAAGAAAAACTCAGAGTCCCACTAGAATGACTCTTTCACACACCAAGTGATCTGTGCCCCACACAAAACTCCTGACACCAAACTCCCATGCACAAGAAGCTGGTACCATGTCAACTATACATTTTCAGCCTCAACATGACATTTTTAATCAGACTATCCCTGAAGGACAGTCATACCAGAATCCAACCACACTGCAGTACAGCATGCTGGTGCTACAATCCGCCAAACACAAATACAATTAAGTCCTTTCAACCGAGTCAACAATGGGTAGTTGGACATTAGAAAGGGGATTGACCACTCCAATGCCACATACCATCAGCATGTCTAGGATACAGTGTATAAGGTATGATTCTGAAGGACTTTGCAAGTTTGATAAGGCTGTGTTTGCCATGTGATAGAGGAGCAGAAGTAGGCCATTCAGCCCATCAAGTCTGCTCCACCATTCAATGAAATCATGGCTGATCTGATAATCCTCAACTCCACTTTCCTGCCTTTTCCCCAGAACCCTCGATTGCCTTATTTATTAAGGATCTTAGCCTTGAATACACTTAGTGATCTCGCCTCTACAGCCTTCTGTGGTAAAGAATTCCACAGATTTACAACCCTCAAAAAAAAAAGCTCCTCCTTATGTCTAAATAGATGACCCCTTTTTGAGATTATGCCCTCTGGTCCTAAACTCTCCAGAAAGGGGAAACAACCTCTCCGCATCTACCCTTCAAGTCCCTCAAGAATCTTGTATGTTTCGATAAGGTTGTCTCTCATTCTGCTAAAAACTCCATTCAATACGGGTCCAACCTCTCCTCATAAGCCCCTCAATACCCAGCATCAGCTGAGTGAATCTACTTTGGACTGCCATCAATGCCAGTATATCTGTCCTTAGATACACCACTCTCAGTATTCCAGCTGTGGTCTGACTAGCGTTCTCTTGTTTTTAATACTCCATTTCCTTTAAACAAAAGGCCAACTATCCATCTTACTGTACTTAGCTTTTTGTGAATTATGCATGAGAATTCCTAAATCCCTCTCCACTGTAGCCATTTCAGAGTGCAGTTAAGAGACACTGCCTGGAGTCACTTGTAGGTCAGACCAGGTAAAAACAGCAGCTTTTCCTTCCCTAAAAAGACATCAGTGAACCAGATGGGTTTTCACAACAATTGACAATAATTTCATGGTCATCATAATTTCAGATTCTTACTGAGTTCAAATTTCACCATCTGCCAGGATGGGATTCGTACCCAGACCCCAGAACACTACATGGGTCTTGGAATTACTAGTCCAGTGGCAATACCACTACGTCCCACCACTTCTCCCGTTTCCTTTTTAAGTATATATCCAATTCAAAATTACAAATAAATGGGTAGTAGATCATATCAATTTGCTACATGAAAAGGTTCTTAATTTTTATTGCTTTTTCCGTTACTTGCTTACATTATAAGAGAAAAGTTAAATACAACAGCTTTTTTTCCTCTGTTTAGACATAAGAGGTGAAGGATTAGTTCATTCTCTCTCTCCCATTTCCAATACAATTTAATCTCAACAAAATTAATCTTTTTTTCTTTATATCCTCAAGCGTTATCACACACTACCGAATGTCTTTCCCATCACCCAACCACCAGGACATTTTCTGCACCAATAACTGCCACCAGTAAATCAGCCATGCCACCAACTGGATATTTACATGCAAAGCCTGGTATAGGCAATGCAAACCATTGAAAGTGAGGGAGGGATAGAGACAGCAGGAAGGGGCTAAATCAAAATGCAGTTGGGGGGTCGTGATGGGAATGAATCACGTTCATCTGTAGTATTTTTGTTAATTTCACCTGATGTCCAATAGAAAAGAAATTCACCTCAAATTCACTCACCAATTTGCACACTCAACCTATGAAGTTGATTACCACCAGATGAAGAATGGTGCTAGCAAAGAGAAAGTCTGCAAATGCTCGCTCAGGTGAGATACCAATGAAGTCTCCTTTGTTCTGAGGGTTGATCTGTATCCGCAAGCAAACTGTAGTAGAGGAGGAAAAGCAAAATTTAATAATTAATGAAAAATACTGCAATGCTATCACAGACACCTAGAAATAAATAACTGTCAGTTCAGGTTATGATCAAGAAATTATCGACACTGGACAGTTTAATCCAACCTCAAAAGGATGCCAAAGACAGTGAGTCCCTATTTATCTTTCTGAGGAAGGACCCGAAACATTAACTCTGATTTCTCTTCACAGATACTGCCAGACCTGCTGAGCTTTTCCAGCACCATCTGTTTGTGTTCTGGTTTATCACTGCCCATTTTTACATTGTTTTACTTTCACGTCAGTTCAGGGGACTTGTGTTCTTGTCATATCGTGAGTTTTGTTCCAAAGATACTTTGTGAACTCTGATGCTGGGCCACATGGCTTGATTGGCACCATTTTTGGTGCATTCTCTCCTGCTACCTAACCCACCATCTTTCTATGGATCTGTGGCCTCTTCTGTTCTGTGCTGTTCTGATTCACCCGAAAGTCAAAGGCTGTTCCTTCTGCGTCTCTCCACTCATCTCTAAAGCCCTCATTTACAGCAAGCTTTCAGGAGAGAGAAGTGGGACAGTCAGGAAATGGGAAGTTTGGCAAGAGGAAGAATCAACAAGTCAGACGGCTGGTAGCAAGAGAGTGGGCAGAAGAGGATAGGTTAGGGAGTAGGAGAGGCTGTGTGCCAAAGAGTCAGTGAGAGGAATACTTTAACAACTCGGCAGGTCAGGTAGCAATGTGGCAAGTGAGAAATGTGGGAAGCAGCATCAGTAACAAGCAGAATTGCCAGTGAGCAGGAGGTACAGCAAAATAATCACCACATTTTTTCACATTTGTTCTGTTTTAAAAGTTATGTCATTCACAAATATAGGAATTCAACTTATAGGTGTAATTTTTTTAAATGATGAAGGTCCACGATCAAGGGCCACCTATTTAAAATGGATAAGGGGATTTTGTCTTCCTCCCAGAGGGTCATGAGTCTTTGGAATGCTTCCTGAAACAGTGCTGGAAGCAGAGTTCTTGAATTTTTTTTAAGGCAGACAGATTCTTAAAAAACAACTGTAGATGCTGGGCATCCAAAACAAAACAGAAATTGCAGGAGAAGTTCAGCAGATTTGGCAGCATCTGTGGAAAGAAATCAGAGTTAACGTTTTGGGACCAGTGATCCTTGCTCAGAACTGTTTTCTGAAGAAGGGTTACTAGACCCGAAAAGTTGACTTGTATTTTGCACTCTTCACTGATGCTACCAGACCTGCTGAGTTTTTCCAGCAATTTGTTTTTTGATAGATTCTTGTTAAGCAAGGAGGTGAAAGGTTATCGGGGCAGGCAGGAATGCAGCTTTGAAATTACAATCAGATCAGATCTTATTGCGTTAACAGAGCAGGCTCAAGGTCAATGTTCCCTCAATCGTGTCTTAATGCTACATGGACCTCCGAGGTCCGCGTGTCACTGCAGCTTTTGGAAGAAGGCACACAACAGCACACTGTTCGATGTATAGGAGATTCCCAGTGCTGTACAACACAAATGGAACACTGCACCACACCATTCCCTCACTGAGGTTTAAACCCCATTCCAATGGGGTTTGCAATAGAGTACAACCCCCTCACTCAGGTTCTCCTGTAGTTCAATGCTTTGAAAAGCAACACTCTGATCTGTTGTGAGGGCCTGACATTCCCCATCACTTCCTTTTCCAGTCTCTCTCTCCCCCCCAACCCCGCCTCCCCCATCCCCCCCTTCCCCCCCCCCCCAAGCCCTCCTTCTCTTGCCCCCCACCCCCTCTCTCACCTCCTCCCCATTCCCCCAACCCTCCTCCCATTCCCCCCTCTCTCTCTCTCAACACCCATTGCACCCCCCCAGTCCCCCAACCCTCCTTCTCTTCCCCCCCTCCATTGCCCCGACCTGCCAGCACGAAGGCCCCGACACAGGCGATGAACCCGGACAGGAAGGAGTTGAACGGGAAGGTTCCGACCAGAGCGCAGTAAAGGAACTGCGCCACCCCGCTCAGCGCCATGTACAGCAGGTACGAGTCCAGCAGCTTCAGGCGGAGCGGCGTCCCCGCCGCGTACTCCTGGGAGAACCGGCTCAGCACCGACAGCACGGAACCGCGCATCGTTCAGAGAGAGCCCGACCTGGGGGGAACACAATCAACGGGACACAACCCCACACATCAGCAAACCCGCCCCGTCCCCGCCCAAAAACCGTCCGGGCACCGCCGCAACTACTGTAGCCCCGACAAAAGGGCCGAGCACAAAGGTTCCACCGCCTCCCCAGCTCCAAACATTAAATTCATGTCTTTTTATCTATATTTACTTAGAATAAACAAACAAACAAAAACCTGAGATGAAACTGCTCAATCATTTAGAGATTGACATTACGTCTTGAATAAAGTACTGTCTCCCAATCAGTTTTCATGTAATCTGATTATTGAGACACCATCAACTTATACAGTATTCAAAAAAAACTTTAACTATTTTACTGCAATGATACATTAAATCGATTCCCAGCAGTATAATCAAAAGTAAATTTAGCCACCAGGACACATGTTTGGTCAAAGGGTTTTTAAACAGCCAAAAAGGTTCAGAAAAGGAAATCCAGAGTTTAGGGTCTTGACAGCCTAAGTCACAATCACTGAAAATAAACTAAAATAAAAACTGCTGATGCTGGAATTCTGAAACAAAAACAGTAAGTGCTGGAGGAAGAATAGCAGGTCTGGCAACCTCTGTGGAGAGAGAAACAGAGTTAATGTTTCAAGTCCAGTAGCCCTTCTTCAGAGCTGTAACTGATTGGTTTAATGTAAATGATATCACTAAAGTTCGTTTTGTCGGTAAGTCCCATGTGAAGAAGCCTTAAAACCGATAGCTTTTAATTCAATTCTGCATTTCAACCAATCAAGTGCTGTTTTAAATGTGAGAATGGAAGTAGGTTCAAATTTGAATGTGCCAGATGGAGGGGTTCAGCAGATACAACCAGCTAGTCATACAGTAAAATGGTGCAAAAAGTTGTGGTATGATAATGCACCTATGTTTTATCAACTCAAAAATAAGATGAGGGACTGATACTGAGATCGACAGTTGGAGACATTTATCAGGGTTTGGAAGCAACAGTGTTAAAAGTAAAAGGTAAAGTTGCAATAGTCTTACCAGACCACAGGAGTGGCCCTTCATTAGAGAGAGAGAGAACTGAGGTTGGTTTAACCTGAGGGTCACCGCACCACAGAAAAGGGGAGAGGTTGAGAAGAAGAGTTATTCTGAATAGTCACAGTGACAGATACCATGGATGCAAGTTTTAATGACAGATGAGCTGAAGCAAAACAGGTGTGGGTGTGTTGGAGCGTTGTAGATAGTCATTAACATCAGGAACTTGAATTGGAGGTGCACTTGCTGAATGTCAGGGATTTAACACCCAGCAATCACTACTGTGATCTGGTATCTGCCTTTTATTGCTCTACAGCATATTAAACTCAAAAATGCTGTCAATTCAAAAACAATGAAAAGCAGCCCCAAATGAAGACCAATGGAATCCCATTGGAATTGCTTCAAAGTGACTGAATATTTGCAAATCCTTCACATTTTGTTTCTTCAACTTTTCATCTGAAAAAGAAGCTGTAGCCTTCACAACACATATCAAAAATAGCATGTCTACTGATCTTCGTAAAGCTCCATCCTTCTTATCTAATCTCACCATTCAGCACAGAGCACTGCCATTGGCAGAATCCAAACTGAACTATCTGTGCCGAAGGTACACAGTTAATAACAGTAGACTGTTGATGACTGACACAATCATCCGTACTCAAAAGCTGATTAACAGGATACTTTCTCTTTAACATTTGGGCATTGTTTTAAAAGTTGTAAGTTAATTACATGCTACAAATATATGGAGGTTTTAAGAACTAATTTATTCAAAATAAATTAAAGGTCACAGAACAGATTGGCAGGTCTTTAAACCATTAAGAAATTACACTTAACCAACAGAGACCAGACAGCATTAGGCAGATGGGAAACAAAGCAGACAGGACAGGAACAACTTAGACTATTTAATCGCACATTTCAGCTCTCCACTTATAATAGACAGATATACAAACTATCTATAAAGCAGATAGTTCTAATCAAATTAAGGAAGCTGCAAACACCATAATCCTTATGATGATCCTTTAATGTCCAAAAGCATTAAAGAAGCTTTACATTCATATATGAAATAACTCAGAGGCTGGTATACTGTCACCAAGTCACCCTTTATTTACACGTGGTAAGTCCTTGACACTGGTTCAGCTTCCTCAGAGCCAGCTCTTAGAGTGAGCAGAACCTCTGATAATCCTGTTCATATCTGTCAGCCAGGGCTCCCTGATTGGACCAGATTAGCAGCCCCAATCAGGGAACTCAAATTCTATGAGTTCCACCTGGTTGACCTCATTATGATCACTACAGCATTGTCAATGGGCATTTGGCATGTGAGATGTTAGGACAGATATCAAAAGCTTGGCTAAAGAGGTAAACATTCAAGGAAGAGTGAAACATAGAGAAGCAGAGAGGTTTTGGGGAGCAAATTGCAGTGCTAGAGGCCTCTCTAGCACCTGAGGCCTGAAGAGTGGAAATAGAAATTGGAGATGTGAAGAGGCCAGAATAGGAGCAGCACAGTAGTCCACCAGTACAGTGATAGGGCTGCCACTCTATTCTGCATGCAGATGGTATAGCATGGTTGATAAGCGTTGACAAGGAGACAAGATGTGGCCACCAGTTAATCAGCTACAGGGAGATCATGGACAGTAAATGTTTTCTTCACAAGTGGACACCCAGAGAAGACAGGAAATGATTGCTGATTTGCCAACAGAGCCTGTAGATGGATAATTTGTACATGCTTATCCTAAAGATAAGCATGTACAAATTATATAGCTATATCATAGATCAAGCAAAAATATGCAGACAATTAGAGGCAAAGAATCTTAAGCACTGGGGTAAAAGAGTTCCATTGGAAAGCTATGAGGATTGCAATGGATGTCCTGAGTTGGAAATACAGAGCTCAGCATGTTTGCCCCAGAATCGCTTTTGTTGCAAATGGTGAAATGACTCACATCTTAGTGTTCATTAATTGGAGAGGTAATATCAGGAGCAAAAGATCAAGAACTGCAGTTAGGGGGCACTGGCGTAGTGATATTGTCACTGTACTAGTATTCCAGAGACCCGGGTAATAGTTCGGAGCCAGGTTGAAATCCCATGGCCTGATGTTAACCCGGTGAAGCTAAGAAACAGGACTACTTATAAACCAAACAGCAAGTGATAGACAGAACAAAGCGATCCACAATCAATTGATCAGATCTAAGCTCTGCAGTCTTGCCACATCCAGTTGTGAATGGTGGTAGACAATTAAACAACTCACTGGAAGAGGAGGTTCCATAAATATCCCCATCCTCAATGATGGAAGAGCCCAGCACGTCAGTGCAAAATATAAGGCTGAAGCTTTTGCAGCAATCTTCAGCCAGAAGTCCCGAGTGGATGATCCATTCCGGTCACCTCCAGTAGTCCCCAGCATTACAGATACCAGTCTTCAACCAATTCGATTCACTCCACGTGATATCAAGAAACAGTTGGAGACACTGGATACTGTGAAGGCTACGGGCCCTGACAACAATCCGGCAATAGTACTGAAGACTTGTACTTCAGAATTTGCCACTCCCCTACCAAGCTCTTCCAGTTCAGTTACAACACTGGTATCTACCTGATAATGTGGAAAATTGCCCAAGTATGTCCTGTACACAAAAAGCAGGACAAATCCAACCTGGCCAATTACCGCCCCATCAGTCTACTCTCAGTCTTCAGTAAAGTGATGGAAGGTGTCATCAACAGTGCTATCAAGCAGCACCTGCTCAGCAATAACCTGCTCAGTGACGCCCAGTTTGGGTTCTTCCAGGGCCACTGAGCTCCTTGGTTCAAACATGGACAAAAGAGCTGAATTCCAGAGGTGAGGGGAGAGTGACAGCCCTTGACATCAAAGCTGCATTTGATTGGGGCATCAAGGAGCCCGAGCAAAACTGGAATCAATGGTTATCAGGAAGCAAACTGTTCGCTGTTTGGAGCCATAGCTAATGCAAAGGAAGATGATAGTGGTTGTTGAAAATTTAGTCATCTCACTTTCAGGATTTCTTTCATCCAGATGCTTTATTAATGACCTTCCCTCCATCATAAGGTCAGAAGTGGGAATATTTACTGATGATTGCACAATGTTCAGCACTATTCACAACTCCTCAGATACTAAAGCTGTTCATGTCCAATTCTGGACAGTATCCAGGCTAGAGTTGATAAGCAAGAGCTGGGCAATGACCATTTCCAACAGGAGGGAACCACCCATTGAAATTCAATGGCATTACCATCACCGAATTCTCCCACTATCAATATCCTGGGTGTTACCATTGACCCGAACCTGAACTGAAGTTGCGATATAAATACAGTGGCTACAACAGCAGGTTAGATGCTAGGAGTATTACAGCGAATAATTCACCTTCTGACTCTCCAAAGCCTGTCTACCATCTACAAGGTCCAGTTAGGCATGTGTTGGAATAATCCTACTTGCCTGGATAGTGGCAGCTCCCAGGACAAAGCAGCCCACTTGGTCAGCACCAACGAACATTCACTCCTTTCACCACTGAAGCTTAGTACCAGCAGTGAGTATTAGCTACACAATACACTGCAGAAATTCATCAAAGAACCTTAGACAGCACCTTCTATCAGCACTTAGAAGGATAAGGCCAGCAGATACGTGGGAACACCACCAATTGCAAGTTCCACTCCAAGCCACTCGCCATCCTGACTTGGAAATATATCGCCATTCCTTCGTTGTTGCTACATTAAAATCCTGGAATTCCCTCCCTAATGGCATTGTGGGTAAACCCACAGCAGGTAGACTGCAATGGTTCAAGAAGACAGCTCACCACCACCTTCTCAAGGGACAACTAGGGACGGGCAATAAATGCTGGCCAGCTAGCGACACCTATGCCCTCTGAATGATTTTTTTAAAATTGACCTATTATGACAGATAATAGAATCTGAATGGCAACAAATTTGTGTGGTAATGTTGCAGCCGCTGTTCTCGAATGAAAGATCATAGTCTTAATTCAAAATGTGAAGTGCTTCAAGAGATCTGAATTATAGCCAGTTTGCAATATGTTTTTCTCATTTCATTCGTACTGTCTGAGTTTTGAAATTGAACATCTG